TTAAAGCTAACCTTAAAGCTTTCCTTAGGAAAAGGAGGCATCCTCAAGCAGCTTCAATTTTGTTGAAATACACTAAAACCGGTGGATCTTTGGGGGGGGTACAATATATATATATATATATACATATGACCCCGTATGATTTAGAATAAAGGCTGACGCAGGTCATGAGATTGTAGTTTACATGTAATTTTCTCTTCCAATATTCCTAGATTAGATGTCCCTAGATGACCCCATTAAAACCCCATAGTGTTCACCCTGAAACCCTAGACCCTTACTACCTAAACCCCCTAAACCCTGAACCCTGGACCCCTAAACCGTGTAAACCTTAAACCCTGGGCCCTCAACCGCCTGAACCCTAAACCCCTATGAGCCGCTAAACCCTTTGAAGGGATTCAGAACTTCACAGAAGAGCTCAGGTGGCCACTCGGGCCTTCGAGGACGGGCCTGACAATGGCACAGTTTTTCTTGGTTTCTATGAGGGCTTAGAGTTTAGGAATACGGATGAGGGTGGTTTAGTGTTCAAAATATTTAGGGATATCTTTCAACAATGGAAAAGAAACTGGAAACTGCCATATCGTCAGCCTTTATCGTCACTCCAGTCTGGCCTGCAGGTGTTCGAACCACCATGTCCAAAGTCCTTGCCAGGGCTTGTGCAGACACGCCAAATACTTGGAGGCATGCTTCCATTCCAAGCTTCAATTCTGAGGCGGCATCCTGTACTTGCTCATGAAGCCTTTTAGCCAATCAATTGCACCGTTGTCGTTGACGGCCTTGTCGGCGGTAGTTATCCAGAGCTTCTGATGATCAGAGCCGAATCAGAGCCCCTTGCCCTACACTTCTCAAACAGCATCGGCCCTCGTTTAATCTGAATCCACCGGGTTTGGGGACCCCAGATGAATACGCGCGAGCGAATTAACTAGCCACCTTGATTTCTAGAATTGGCCTCCATCCAAGACTGCTCTGCAGCAAGGGCCAAATTTGGCCCGTTGCAGACATGAGCACGGCGTACCTTCACCAGCAGCAAGGCAAGCACATTGACTATTACGTTTTATTATTATTGCTTGTTATTTCTATCATGTGTCATTATTACTGTCCATAGTAGCCTTATTACTATTAGTATTATTATTCGTATTATTACCTTTACTAGTAGTTGTTGTTGTATTCCTATTACTATTTCATTGGTAGTATTGCTTTTGGTAATTAGTAGTAGATAAGTATTATTTTCCTGACCATCGTTTCGACTCCAGATTTCCATCATGCTGCCAGCCTCACTGGCCGAGGGCTGCTCTTCAGCGCCTGCCAGGAGGAAACTTCTACGTCATCGAAAAGCATACGCAACAAAAGGGGGGCTTAGGGTGCAGGGGTTTATAAGAGTATGTGTATAAATACATATATATATATATAAGTAGGGTTTCGGGTGGAGTGGGAAAACCATGATCTACTATATTCTACCCATCATGGTAACTTAAATTAAGCCCCCGAACAGCAACCCAGGAGGAGGAGTCAAGCAGTCAAACTGGGACTTGTGAACATGGCAGTTTTCTCAATCTCAAGTCGGGTCCTCTGTCACCTCGTCTTGTCCATCGCCGTGCTGCAACTTGCCTCTGCAACACTTATGCTGGCCATGTCACCTCTTCTCCACGGGCACAGACACGACTCTCGCTGCTCAGACTTGTTAACCGACATCACGCCTCGGACTGCTCTCATGAAAGTAAGAAGATGGCGATGGAGGTTCCCTCGCCACTTCAAACTCCTGAAGGCACGGCACTGATCAGGCAGAGCAAGCGCAAGAAATCCTACTCGATGTACTGTAGAGCAATAAAGAGCCATCTTTCCCTTGAGTACAGACATGCATCAAGTCCAGCAGGTCGGCATCAGATCCGATCGGAAAGGCAAACATACTATGAAATTCATGCAGCCGTTCTTGTTACGCTCAATGTATCTTAGGCCGAGTACACCCTAGTTTCCATTCCATGTTCCGTGTTCTTTTCCATTTGCTTCTCCATCATTGGGGCAATATCCCTACACCCTCAATAACCCTTTATCCTTATATAATCCTTAAAGGAACCCCCTTGTATCCCGCGATGCCCCTATAGGATCATGGACCCAGCCACTTGATAGCTGCGTTCAGCCCTCAGTACATGGGGCTTGGGTCGAATATTCTCATTGTTTTGTTTTTTGCTTTAGACTTTTTCCGGGTCTGCGGGGTTTAGGGTCAAGGGCTTTGTAGGGTATATGGCTTCATAGGGGTCATACAGGGATATCTAGGAATAATAGAGAAGAAATGGAAACTACCATATTCTGACAAAATACATATGGGGGTTAAACAGGGCTTTTGGGCAGGTATATAGTAATAATGGACAAACTACTCTTTAGGATCTAGAGATAAGGGATGATAAGGTTTATGGATATTTCCTAATAGCAGAGAATCATATGGGAAAGAAAATGAAATGGAAACTGCGCTAAGCCGGGTTTATGGGGATTAATTACCCTGAATTACTGAATAATCACCAACATGATTCCTCCTATCCGTCTCTCGCATGTGAGCTCCAAGCAGCTTCGGCTGTCATTTGGACATCATTGCGTGATACAAAGACGTCGACAAAGAAACCATGCACAATGATACTAATCGGGCATGCAGCAAGCGCAGTCTGGTACGGACCAACAGCAGGCTTGCGAAATCTTATCAACCCACTTGCGCTCCATCCTGGCACAGTCAAGCTGCTCTAGCTGTTACAAGAATGCTGAATTCAGATTCCAAACCTTTGTCAGTGATTTCGCGCTTTTTGCTTCCAGGAGAGCGACTGTCGCCACAATCCAGCGCCTCTCGCCGTTGCCCTCAAACGGGTACGTCAGCGTCTGCACCTCTCTCAGACAACTGTCCAACTTGATTGCGGGCATCTGAAACATAAACTATGATATAGTATACTATAGTATATTATAATACAATATCGTATAATACACCTTATACCATATCAAACTATAAAATACTACAAAAACATGTACTATAATGTACTGTAGTGTAGTATACTATAATAATCAGAATCAAGGCCAGCACCCAATCCGGGAAGACGTAAAGTTGGCCCACACGCAGCTCCTTACGGCCAAGACGCAGCCCAACGCAGCATGGTGGGTGGCCTAGTCCAGCCCGACCATCCCGCATGAAATTTCAGCCTCGCCCAAGGTTCGAGGCTTTGGCGGTACGCGGCGGGCGCATTTTTCGTTCAAAACGGTGTTTCTGCTAAGTTTTTGGGGGTTTTGGAGGCCCCTCGACGTCCCTGGACCCCCCGAAGGCCCCTGGACGCCCCTGGAGC